ACACTACAGGAAGTGAGAACCCCCAACATCACAATAGAGGCCCTTTAAAGGTTGTATGTGCTCCAGTTCTTTTCCTTTTTTCATTATGTTGCAGTTATATTACAATCAAAAATGTCAAATGTGTGCCTTTTTGGTCTCTAAACACTGTTTTTTATTCTTTTTAATGAGATTTGAAGGCTAATTTCAAATGACTATCTGTGTCCCTGTTTTAGATGTTTTACTCTTCCTTTCATATCTGTCCATTCAAACCTGATGTTCTGTGATTCAAACCACCGCCATTTCTGTAGCTTTTGATATGGCATTCGTTAAAATAAACACATCTTTTAAATAACTGGAGCAATATCGTAATTATATTAAACCTCTGCAAGCCACATGTTGGTACTGAAGTAAACTATGCAAGTAACCGGGTAGTTTATGTAAACACAGTGAAAATGGCTGCTTAGCCCAGTAGCAGCAGCAAATCCCTAAGTACTGGAGCCTATGATTAGACCCACTCAACCTCTGGAATAATAAACTTGGACTTCTGGTTGCCCTTAATCAGACATTTAATCTAATTTTTCCCCAGATTGGAGTTGGTTCAAAAGCTTCTAACTGTCCTTTAATGCCCTTTAAGTGTTCATGTTGAACAGCTGTGCTTCATGTGCTAAAGCCAGTGCTGAACATAGTTTAAGATGGAGGATGGATAAAGAAACTTGTGGGAATTCAGAAGATGTTAGGTTACTTTTATTGTGTCAGTTCAACATTACAGTTTTTCTAGCAATTTAGGTAAAACTGTTTACATGTCAGTAGCCACGTGAACTCCAAAAGTACTAAATATACTAATACTAATAGCATTTTGAAGTTTTATATTTTCACATTTTCTCTTGAGAGGCAAAGCCAGAAAGTCCCAGAAAGATAGAATATTCCCACCAGACCGGCACATGAAATGTCCACTCTATCATTTCCTGCAGCTGCACACCATCGTAATGATAATTAGCCCTATTGAGATGGGTCCACCTCAGCATTTTGAGCTGATGAACGATAAAGTAAAGCAGTTGCCGTGTTTGTTTGCCTCACTAATGTCTAACGACTGAAGAAATATCTGCTGTCCCAGTCTGCAGCAATCAGGGTGTATTCTGTTTGGCATGCTCGAGTGCTTCTGAAGTCCACTGGGTGAAGGGGAACTACACTGGATCTCAGCCCAGCTGGAAAACTGTCCTGTGAGCGACTCATCAGCTGTGAAATGGACGGTCGGCTATTGACACAGCAAAACTGTACGAGCACAGATGACATGACAAGACAAACTGATGTCTAATAAAATGGAAAGTTTTAAATGTTAGACTTGATCTTTCGGAGTGAAGCGATGAAGTTTCCTTCCACTCGTATCATGTTTATTTACACAGCGTTCAATCGGTTGCAAAAGTAGCAGTCAGCTACAAATTATGTGTGAGCACGAGTGCTTACCGCGCCGCACTCACACTCAGCTGGTTTTGATGCAGGGATGGGATCATGGGACGAGACTTGGACGGCTGTGAAAAGACTCTGGCGGTTTGCTGCAATGCTCTGTGGGTGGGAACACACACCAGTGTCCTCAGCAACCCAGAAGCAGCCCTATGGTTCTGGAATAAGCAGGCCCGACCTCTTGGCCCGCGACGCAGTGGTCCAACGGCGCCTGTCGGCCGGGCCCAGAACACCATTTCTTCACCAGATGTATTACTAAGATTTGGTGGTACAACTACTTCAAAGTACCCCTTGATTGTTTTTGATTGTATGATTATTCAATGCTGCCGTGTTTTTCTTTTATTTCTGGGGGGAAAAGATATTATCATTCAACCACACTTATTTAATTGCAGCAATTGGAGCCACTCTAATTGGGCCTTGCCTTTCATCTGTAATGGTAATGATTATGAGATTGTGTTTGTGCTGAGCAGTCTAGTCTGATGAGTAAGAGTAGAATGATATGAGTGCTTTAGCTGCCATATCATTCGTTTTTTTTAAGTATTTTTGCCTCCTACGCAGTAAACTATGCTGGAGATAATCTGATTTAATACAGCGTATTTCTGTTTTCGCAGATATCAAACAAACCCTACGTGCACTCACATTGTTCTCCATCTTGATGCTTGTAGCTGATTCCATCTTTGTAATGGTGGTCTTGAAAAAGTAAACAGTGCATGCCTGTTCGCAATGTCTGCCTGCTTTTGTCAGAGCCACGCAGACATTTAAAGAGCATCTTATCATGTTGATTTAAGCAATTAAACATGAAGTTGGCCACTGCAAGCTCCGACTGACTGTATCATCTTAATTATTATCTACAGAACCTTATCCTCAAAGCATTTTCTGTGGTCCGATAACGACGACTTATCACAGTCATTACAGGGTTAAACGTCTGGCTACGTGAAAAAAAAGTTAGAATTTGGGAAATGTTCGACGCAGTATAACCTAGCCTTTAATGTGTTTGGGTATGGTGGTTCACAAATGCTTTCAGGTCGCACTGAGATAAACAGAGTCATTAATCCTTAAATGATACCTTCTACTCTAATCATCTCGTGTGACGAGCAGGTCTCGATTAAAGGCGTGTAAACAGACTTTGCTTTGACCCAGGAAATTGTTAGTGGGGTTTGAAAAGCTGCTTAATAGGCAGATTAACTTTTTTAAGGCATGGTTTAAAAGTTTAAATCAGTGCATTTCTAACTGAGTGATTCAGGACTTTTTTTAAGTTTGTCAGAATCAATTTTAACATCAGTAACATTTTGTTCTCCTTGTTTCTGTTAAGACAACACTGTAGCTAAAGCTGTGCATTACTAATATTCACCCAATGTGACTGCAGTCTTTTTGCCCCCAAGTCAACCACATCCAGATCACGATCTAATCAAATGTGACAAAGCTTTGCAGGGAAAGATGGGCAGCGATCTGGACTCTGCCCATGCCAGTATAGGAGCTGTTTTGACAAGGATTATCACATTCATCACCAGGTAATTTATAACAACCCCCAGCTTCTACAGACCTCATATCTCTCCTAAAGAACGGTGCTTACAAACACCTGAGAAATGCTGGTAGCTCGGTTTCTCACCTTCTGCAGAAGTAGGAGGGGGGGCAAAGGGCAAAACATTCAAACATCACGTTATCTTTGGCCCATATTGCAGGTTTACTCTTGCACAGAAGCCCGGGTCTATGAGTGTCTTGGCACAAAAATCACCTGCATGGTGATGCAAAAGCTAAGGAATTCATCCACAAGTCTTCATAAATCATCTCTTTACATTTAAAATAAACTCTGCCCGTACAGGCGGGGAATTGATTCTGGAAATTGTAAAGTTTCGCAACCCTGATCTTGTTTGATTATTTTTCATAGCTGTCAGTTTGCTACAGTACATGTTCTCAAAATACTCCTACAACCTTTCGTGTGATTGTGAAAGGCAGTAGAAGGAACATTCTGACATGCTCATACGCAAGGTAGCATTGCTTGAAAGTGCTACTTATGATAAACATACAATTAAAAACATACTTAAAATGTGTACTAATCTCATCATAGCGCTGTATAATTATAGTTATAAGCACTCAAAAATGATCATAAGGCTTTATAACAATAACAATAACATTGTAAATTATTTTTATAATATATTTATAAGGTCAAGTATCATAAAACTGACTGACATTTTTTGTGAGGATAATATTGCATTATATGTCATTATAAATAATAATATGGTGATAATGATAATAGACGTATTATTATAGTACATTACTAGCTCTTTATAAATCCAAAACGTAGGTGACTAGCGAATATGAAATATTCTAAAACCAGTCCTTATATTATAATGAAATGCTTTTTAATGTGTGCAGGGTTGTGAGGGTTACTTAAAAAATGTATTCCGTTAAAACGAATAGTTACCTGTAAAACATTAAACTAATCTCAGTATCCCAATATAAAATGAATGATTACTTTAGGTTACTTTTGGATTACCTCAATATCCAACAGAACAAACATAAGATCCTTAGAAAAGGCCAACATAAAATGTGTTATTATTTAATAGGCTTACCATACAGAATATTAGTTTACATATGCAGTTTTAGTTTATTACTAAATGAAAAGGGAAACATTATGTTTGTCTATTAAATCATGTCAATCAAAAAACCTATAATGTATTTGATCTGCTAGTAATCCCCATTTTTGCAAATGTACCAGTAATCTGAATACACCATTTTGTCATGTGACTGTAAGGGAATACAGTTACCTCTTTATTGTATCCTGAATATGTAATACCCAAGCCTGATTATATATTTGTATAATGCATTATAGAAATGGATTCATGAAGAAATGGAGTACGGGGAATGGAGTTTAAAACAATGTATGTAAATCTGATGAATAACACCACGCTTCACTTCATAGCAAACCCTGTCTTTAATGAGTTACAAACTTAAGCATCAGGGGAAAAAAAGGAAATAACTAATCTGACGAAAGAAATATGAACAGACTTCGCCCACAGTTCATGCAAGAATGCTCAACAATGGAATTACCAGAAGTCCAAATCCAGACGTGCATCTGAAGAGTGTTTATGATGTAAGCAGGCCATCTATTCGGTTTGCGCAATGCAAATGTTTTCACAGTGCAGTGCTATCATAACAGCATCTGAAACAAGCACCTCCACCCCCTTCTTCAACATTAACAGCACGCTCAGGTAATACAATTAAACCACGGCGCCAGTGGTCTGCAGAGATAAGCAGTTTGGATTATGCTGACGCAGCACACTAATGCATGATTTTTAAATTAATTTGTTAAACGTGTGGTAACGAAAAACTGAATCCCAGCATTACTGTTATATTTCATGATTTACATATCCAATATATCAGTACCTCCTGAATAACTCCTTTATCTTCTAAATTGATCTTAAAACATGGAGACTATAAAAATGAAGAATTAACAGCTGTTGTTACGGTATTTTTGGCAGATTTTCTCCAATTTCTCGATAGATTACTTTTAAATGTTAACATTTGCAAGATGTCGACTACATTTCAGATCTACTCACCACAGAGTAATAAGACTCAGTCCAGTGGAATCCTTGTTAGAATTCATGTTAACATATAATATACAAAAAAAATCAAGACAGAGAGGCCACCCATCTGTCTCTTCTCTGGCCATGTTCTTGTCAGTCTGCCTGCTCTGGTTAAACAGCACTGGAAGGAGGCTGAGCTGAAGCATTGCAAAGCATATCCTACACATGTTTGTTATACATCAAATTAGAAATGATCACACAGAATGGCCAAGGAGGGAGAAAGAATGAAAGCGGGAGGAAAGAAAACCAAAAATGTGGTCGGACAAGATTTTCCCCATTGCTCTTTTTATGTGCTTATACTATACTTCCAAAAAGCCACCCACACTTCACCACGTAGGGAGAAACCAGTCTCAAACTGGCACCTATTTATGGACTTCTCTTCTGCCAGAAAGAAATTCCTACAAAAAAAAAAAGTGTATGAGTGTCATCCGTCATTCAAAGGCCATTAAAACAGAAGCAGCTATGATTTGGTAACACAGTTTGCTTTGATTGGTTCCCCTGTTACACTTTTCACTTCCCTTTTTAACGTTTATCCTTCAAATAAAGCCCTTCCCCTCTTCAATACAACATTTTCATCAGCTGAAATATCATATTAATTCACGTGCTTCCTTCCATGGGTGAGTTTATGACCTTCAAAGAGTATGTGTGTTGAGGTTCATCTCATAGCGTGTGAACTCCTCATTGGTGTGCCGAGCCTCAGAGCTGATGTCATGAACTCCGCTTCACCTGCGCAGGCTGCTGCTCATGCAAAGAAACACGTGGTGGCCCCTGCCATACCTGCTTTGATGCCAATTAACTAATCTTCCCACCGTTTTTTAAAGTATGAAAACACTGTTGCGCTATCTGTGTGAAAATCAGCGCACACAACCAAAACATAAGCATTCCTCCGTGTGTTAGGTTGAGCTTTGAATGCCGTTGTGATATCCATTCACTCTGCTATGTATGATCCGCTGAGCCACTCATGGCACCTAAAGCAAAAGTGAAAATGCACACTTAATGTTTTTACGGTCTTTTATCCAATTGTAATCGAGACGGTGTTGCTTTACTTTTCAACGTTTTAGGAATCATTTACTGTTTATTCGAGCAACAAAATGGGTAATGGCTGCCTAGCCAAAGGCTGTTTCGATATAACAGCTGAGGATATTTTAAAATAGACCTGTTAGCTGTTTTTCTGGATATACATTTATTTCTTAAGGGGCCATCTGGCCTATTTTTATTTTATGTCTGTCTGGCAAATAGCAAGTCCCCCAGCGACTGTAAGTCACTTTGCAGTTTAGCTGACAGAAAAAATAAAATTGGACTTTGATGCTGACCAATTTGGCTGTGCAGACCAAATGTGCTGGGAATGGTGCAGACAACAACACGGACGCATGATGGGCTTGGCACTGACAGCCACAGTGTTGCTTCTGACCTGAATTTCCTAGAGATTACGTCAGTCAAAAAAGGTGGCCAATGTTCTCACAACTGCATTGACAGCAAAAGACAAAGCAGTCAGTAGTTATTCATTGTCACGTAGGCTTTAGTCTATGTGAGATAAGCTGAAATGTACAGTAGAGCCAAGATCTTAGTGATAGAATAGACAATAGAAAGCTGAGAAAGGTCATTGTATATTCAACATAGCCGTAGCCATAGCCACTTTGTGTGTTGTATACAAGGGGGAACCACCTGGGTGGAAAAAGTCAAACCAATGCAAAAGTGCCCTGAACCTGCCTTGTAATTGTATTTCTCAGGGTTAGGGTTAGGGTTAGGGTTAGGGTTAGGGTTAGGGTTAGGGTTGGTGTTACCCTCTCATGTTTTTTGCTTCCAAAAATTATTAGAACAGAAATGTGTTAGTGATTATGCAAAAGTGAAATAATAATACACAAAACACATATGAAGGCTCCTATCACCTACTGTATGACTGCATTTTTGGTCGTTTTTCAGGAAGTTCAAATACAACATCCTGAAAAACTACCAATAATCTTAGATATTATCCCTGAAAATAAAAGTCTATTTGATGAAAAGCGATTTGCCTTTTAGTTTTGTGTCATAGAAATGAACTTGCCCACAGTTTCGTGGTAACTGGAGAAAAAAAAACACAACAATAACGTTTAGATATATCAGATGACACTACATAAGCTATATTAAAACCTTAATTCTACGATCAAGACATAGAGACAGATGACAAATAAATCTCATCAATCAGGGACGTGTGCAGAGGCTGGGGCTTGTTGGCCGGCTACCAGCAGGGTAATTCCTCCAGTTCACAGCTTTAACAAGTCTGATTTGAGTGACCTGGGGAAACGGTTTAATGACCGTTTTCTTGACTGCGTTTCAACACTGTGTGGGTGGGTGGTCTGATGCAACTGGGCAGGGACCGTACATTGATGTACAATTCTGTAAATGGATGTTTCGGCAGAACAACAAACAATTTTCTTTTCATCATCCCAGGAAAGTACCACATTAGGTCACAATGTGTATTTATGCGCTCAAACTTGTTTGTTTTTTGAAAGACGTCAGTCCGATGAATTCTTTCAGATATGTTATTTTCAGATCATTTTTGATACCTGTAATTAACACATTTCTTCAATTTATTTTTATACAATATCACATAGGGTTAACCTAAATATCCAGGAGAATTTAACCCAGATTTTGTCCCCTATAGTAACCTGCAGGCTGTCCTCTCAAGATACTGTAATCTGTTTTCACTGGCTGAGTCTTAATAACCATCACAGACTTTTATAGGAGGAGCGGCGCCACCTCTCTCTAGTCAGCTGTGCTCCTTGAGAACATTTCCTCCGAGCCCAGTGTCCAAGTGTCATTTGTTTCATCTGCAATTAATCAACCATCATGTTTACTATGTTCTTTGTTAGGTTTACCTCCCCATCCCTCCCCGCAGCTCCTGCCAGGTTTATGGTCAACTCTGAGCCGACGCCAGGATTTAAGAGACTTCTGCCACTCAACATGCTTTTCAAGTTTTTTATTCCCCTGTAACACTCCATAAATAGATGATTGAGAAAGGCTTGAAATCTTCTTTAGATGAAACATGCATTGTTTTCTTATTAAATATAAGAACAATTCAATGTAATGATCCAAAAGTAAAGTAAGTAAGTACTCGAGATATTCATAATTAGCTCTACACTTTAAATCTTCTCTTATCAAAATGTTTTATATGTACGATGGATCAAACACCATTTTGTGACATGGGGCCACACAACCCAATTATGCACTTCCCTTCAGTTCTAGTGAGCATTTTAGCTTCTTTCATCTCAATGTTTTGGTTTTAAGGACTACCACTTTACTGTTTTGGTTATGCATCAGCAGTCTCATCGGTAGGTATATGGTTTTCATCAGGAAAGCTACTGTACTTCTTACTTTTTAAAGTCGACCACCTAAAGTATCGCAATAGACTCTGTTTTCTAAGGTAGCTTCAACCACCACCTGAAATTTGCTTTGTGGAAAAAGAAACTTGTGTACGTCAGCTTCTCAACCAAAGCCATGTTAATTTATTTTTACTTCCCTAATGGAAAAATATTCCCCTAATTACGGTAAACAGAAAGTTGCTATTTCATATGGAATCATTCATGTCTGATGCCTGACTCTGATAAGACACTTTTGAAGTTCCAGTGTATATGTTGTAAATTGTTTCTTTGAGGTTGCTCAAGTACGAAAATCACCCCTGCTTCACCCACGGGAATAGCGAGCAGAGCGGGTACCACTCCAGCACTTGGAATCTGGGCCAAGAGTTTCCAAACATCTTTTCCTGGTGCCTAAAATTAGCTACATAATGAGGTAGTGGCTTCCTTTTCTCTGAACTAATACCCCATCCCTGTGGGATAGCCTGATGTGGACTAACGCTTGGGATCAACAGAAAAATCCCACACTGACACTTAAAGACCCAAGGCTGAACATTTAAAAACTGAAAAGAAGGAATTGAAATCCAGTATTCCCCATTGGAAAACTTTAGCATAGATTTAAAAAATAAATATGGTTAATTTAAAAAAGTATGAGCACTTTTTCAATATATACGTTATTTTTCTGAGCTGCTGTATTAAAAGGTGCCAAACAGAACCCAGAGCAGTTAACATTTTCCTCAGTCTCCTTCACCTCTGTTTCCAGTGTACACCTTCACTAAAACAGTTTTATGTGGACTCCAGGACGGCTGGGCAGAATGGAAAAGACATGCTTAAGTAGACTCCACTTCATTATTAAACCTATAGGTCACATTTAATTGCACTTGCATTAATCTGTTTTATTTCAACTAATGAGTACTGCCATAAATTTAACTGAAGGTGAGGAATTTTTATGACCTTCAGCAAACTTTTGATCAGGTGCTGAAGTTGTTCAGTGGAAAACGAGTTGGAGAATCTTTACTGTGTACAGTACAGTGTCCGATTACACAACGGTTTGATTTTCAGCTCTCATTAGGAATTCTCCATCACACATGATAGAGGGCTTTAGGGTTTAGTGGACTGCTTTCTTTGAGGTCCAAATAAAGGGACAGGTAGTCTAGACAAAAACAGAATGATTGGTTGCATGATATTCTTGCCTGAAATTCTTGAAAACGTATTCAAGGGAACTTCTAGCAGGCCAATCAGGCTGCAATTGCTTTTCTTTTATAACTTTGTTGGGTAAAAACGTTTATTGGCTTTAGTTATAATATATGTTTTTACATCCCGATTACGATATATATTTGTTAACAGTTGAAAGTCACTTTTGCTCAAACTGCTTAAACTATTTTCATATCTTAAAGGTGGGGTAGGTAATTTTGGAGAAACCAGCTCGAGATCGCTCGAATTTGAAAATACACAGCCGGAGAAAATCTGCCACTTCCTTACAGAGCCCCTCCTCCAACACACACGAACGCGCACATGACCAATGAGGGGACGAGATAAGTTTGTGCACAGATGGAAGGCTGACAGGCAGGTAGGCCATCCAGTTATTTTAGCCGGGCCGGCCGTCGTACTTTTTACAGTATTACGGCTTCCACAGATGACATTTTTGTATGGATTTTTTGTCAAAGCACTTCAGATATTCATTGCTATCGGGATGTTAAGAGCATTCCATGGAATATAACAAAAAGTGTATCTCGAGCCGGTTTC